CTGCACCTTGTTGTCTTGGATTCTCCAGCATCTGCAGTTCCTACTACCCCAAAATATTCAGTTCGCTGCTTTAGAAAATTCCTGTTTTCTCTCCTGACTTAAAGCCTCATGAAACAAGTGAGAGAAAACATCCTTGAGCTTCTCCATGATTTTAAACACCTCTTGCATCTAACAATTATTAGATGGATTTCACTGCATTTTATTTCTATGCTAGCAAGAGCTGCCTATTTACTTCCACTCTGCCTCAATGTAGCAGTGTGTAATTTTTCGCTAAACTATTCTCTCTCTATCTTGGTAGTTGTTTTCTAATAAACACGGCAGACAGAATCATTCGAGTGTACGATGGCCGAGAGATCTTAACATGTGGGCGTGAGGGGGAACCTGAACCAATGCAGAAACTGCAGGACTTGGTGAACAGGTCAGTATTTGGATAAACTACTGGAGATTTTTAAAGTGACTTTTTCCTAGAATGTGTGCGTTTTTGGTAAGGCCAGCATTTGTTGATCATCCCCAGTTGCCCTTGAATTGAAAGGCTTGCTGGCTAGAGCAGATGATGGCAGATTTCCTTCCCTAAAGAGAGTTAGTGAACCAGCTTTGGTTTTTATGACAATTGACAATGGTCATCATTACTGAGACTCGCTTTCAATTCTAAATTTATTAATTGAATTTAAATCTCACCAGCAACCATGGTGGGGTTTAAACCAATCTCCCCAGACTACTTAACTGAATCTCTGGATTACCAGACCAGTGACATTTCCACTGCACCACTACCTAGTTAGAAACTGTAACAACATCACAACTCTCTGTGGTACAGACATAGCAGTTAATAGAAACATTAGTGGTTTTGTTGCTCTTGGCCAGAGCATTTTCACAATGCTGGGTTTGAGGGGACTGACTGGAATCTCTGAAGGTGCCAAATCGCAAGTTAATGCTGATTAATTCAATTGATAATGAAATTACCAAGAAATGGGAGAATGATTGTTGCTAATGGCTTTTTATTGAAAAGAATTATTGTCAGATATCCCACTTTGCAAAACTGCTCCTTTTGCTGATGTTTAATTATTGAAAAGCTCAGAGATCCCCCGATTTTATTTCGCGCATTAAATCTTTTCATTTATAGAAATCACAAGGCATTTATACAGTGAGCATTGATGAGTTGCCTCTAACATGTATACCGGAATGAAAGATTCTTTCTGTTTTTGTGCTGATTTTTAAAACAATCTATGACCTAATTGTTTGTCTCAATGTCAGGACTCCCTGGAAGAAGTGTTGTTTCTCCGGTGATGGGGAGTACATCTGTGCAGGTTCAGCACGGCAGCATGCACTCTACATCTGGGAGAAGAGCATTGGAAACCTGGTGAAGATTCTTCATGGCACCCGGGGAGAGCTGTTGTTGGATGTAGCAGTAAGTGGCCATTTGTGGCTAATTAGTTCTGTTGCACTCGTAATCATTGGCAGACTCTAAATTATTGAGTTCTTCTGATTCTAGTTGAGTAACCCTCTGAGTTCTTCAAGGTCGCTGAAATAGGAGTAAGTCATGTCACTTTCTCCACCATTCAGTAGATCATTACTGATCTTCAATCTCAATTCTACTTTCCTGCCAAATCCCTTAATCCCTGCCATGTCCAGAAATTGTCCTCCATGTTTTTTTCTGATGATTTTGTTTATGTTCTCTGGTTGAATTTTACAATTTCAGGTGGGCCTCTGGTCATTTACTGTGGGATTATTCGAGTAATTGTCAATCCTTGTATTGCCTTGAACACCTATGCCTTCCTGCACTATAATAATTCTGTTGTCTCTGATCATTGTGTCATGGGCTTTTGAAGCCTTGTGCGCAAGCTGCCTCGTCTTTTCTATTGGAAAAAAACTGGGAAAGGATCAGATTAGGGGATAAGGATTTTTGGCTTTCTCTTCTCCACATTCACATACCAATGACCACATACCAATGAATCTAAAAGGAAGCAAATTCTTGTGACGATTATTAAACACAGCAGCAGTTTATCCCTAACATCTGCCTTCTCCTCCTCACACTTAGAGATTTTCTTATATTGTGTACCTCATGGCTGCTTCTTGCTCTCCCACCAGTCAGTCAGTCTCTCATACATTGCTTTACATAAGACTGAGTTTTAAAATAAAGTACCTTCCCCTTAAAACATGTATGAGAAGAATTTTATTTCCCTAGGAATCCTGAGTCTTTGAAACTCTGTTTCCGAGAACTTGGTGGAAGCAAGGTGATTGAATGTTTTTAACATGGAAGTAGATAGATTCTTATGTAATGTGGGACTTGAATGTTTTTGGGGATAGGTAATATGAAATTGAGTCTATGCTCAGATCAGTTGAGATATTGAATGTTGGAGTAGGTTTGAGCAGCTGGAAATTCTCATTCTGTTCCTAATTTGCATGGTCCTATGTATGTACTGAGCCTCTGAGCTTCAGACTTTGCTGCTTAACCTTCTTCTCAGTCAATTCCACCTCTGGTCCTTGACAAATTGGCAATGACGCTGGAGATGTACCAGGTTTGACAAAAAAAAAAGCAAGCGTTCAGTTTTGAATTTGGGGAATGTCGTGTTTCTGATGCAGATTGAGGCCATTCAGCCTAACTGTTCTGTGCGAGGATTTATGCTCTGGAAAAGTCCTTCCTAGCCAATCTTCTCTTGGTTTTGTACGAATAAAGATTAGTTATTTCTCAATGGTTATTTGCAAGTGCTGTTTTAGAACAGCTTACTACAATTGTGGAAAGTAGATTAAGAGATCTGTCACTTCTGAACGTTTCCTATAATCTGTTTGGCCATTGACTACACGCTGCCAATCAGTTTTCCAATATGTGTTTGGGCAGTGGTGGGTAGTGTGTATTGCAAACATACTTAAAAATTCTGGCCTTCCATGGAACATCTGACTTTTAATTAATTTTTGGAGTTGTCCTCATTCTATTTAGAAAATCAGACTTTTGTGCTTAAGATGCAAGATTAACTTTGTTTCTTTCCCTTTTAAAATTTCTACTTTAGTGGCACCCTGTCCGACCGATCATAGCATCGATATCCAGTGGGGTTGTGTCTATTTGGGCTCAGAACCAAGTGGTAAGTGCCAGGGTTGACTTAATCTCCCTAGGGCCAGGAAACCTGAACCTGAATAATGATTGCCAGATGACAGGTGTCTGCTCCTGAGTAACTATTCCTGAAAGCTGGCATTGTGTGTGTGTGTGCGTGTGTGTCTAGGTTTGGTGCCTAGACACACAATCCTGTGCATGGTACAGTGATTGTGATAAGATACAACAGTGTATCATGGTTACAAAACCCCAGCCTGATCCAGGGTTTTGGGCAGTCAGGGAGTGAAAGAAACAGCTGTGCAAATCTTTTGACTGAGTATGTTAAAATATGAATAAATATATTTAATGTTTTGTCCTATCACATCTCTGATTGGCTTATCCTGTGGCACTTTTCTTATTTTTTTAGCTACTTAATTTGGAAAGCAGTTTAATATCAGCAGGCAGCCAAATCCAGTCAGTATGTAGTGTCTGAAAGCCAGAAGTGGGATTTACTGAGGATGGCATGGCCTTTGATTCTTGTTATATTCTGTTCCAATGAGCACTGAAAAAAGTTTACTTTTACTGTTAAATAAACTTCTAACTTGACGGCTTTCCCATCAGTTGTCTGTCTGCCTAGATAGTCCTGACTGAGATTGGGAGCTGAGAAAAGAAATGTCTGACCCAGTGTCTGTAATCTGAGAGGAGCCTCCCCTATACAGAGCTCCTGTATTCTTGTTCATGGTTGAAGTTGAAAAAGGTGGATGGAGCGGGGAAGTGGGGAAGAAGAGGATACATTCTTTGAAGTATGTTTCTGCTGGAAAACTAATTCTGGAATGAGTTAAGAAGTTGACTATAGACTTCATCTCTGTCTCGCACTGTGACAAGTGAAAATGGTTTGAATGAAAATAGGACGAGACTTTCTGGAAGTGAATCAGGGAAAAAATGGGGTAATCCTATCCTAAGATTAAAAGACTGTCATTATTAGCTCTGGAACATATGCTTCGTTTCCCACTTTCCTCCTATTTTTCTCAAATATATATTTGTTTTGCTCCCAGTGCTTTTATTTCAGGATTGGATGTCTGGAATTCGGAATTCCTAATGGAGCCTGTTTAACTAAATGTGGTTGCATTTCTTTTAGGAAAACTGGAGTGCATTTGCTCCAGACTTCAAAGAGTTAGACGAGAACGTTGAATATGAAGAGAGAGAATCTGAGTTTGATATTGAAGATGAAGATAAGAGTGAGCCTGAGCAGACTGGTAAGACTAAAAATGAGTATGTGCGCAGTTCTAGGCATTAAACTTGAAGAATGTGAATGCATTAGAGAGATTATGGAAGAGGTTTATGAGAATTGCTTTTGGGATGATAAACTTCAGTTATGAAGATAAATTAGAGAAGCTGTTGCTGTACTCCTCGGAGTGGAGAAGCCCATATGATAGAAGCTCTTAAAATCATGAAGGGTCTGGACAAAATAAACAGCAAGAATTTGCGCCTGCTTATAAAAGGAGTCAGAATGAGAGGGCATAAATTTGAAGTAATTGCAAGAAAAAGGGTTTCACCTATTTACTATTATGGCTTTGGAATGTACTGTCTAGAACTCTGGAGACAGGTTCAACTGAGATAGTAAAGAGGGCATTGTTTCTTTTCAAATAACTTTCTAATATTTAGGTTATGGGGAAAAGGAAGGAAAATTACAGTAAGTCATCATACTCATCTGAAAAACAGTGCAAACATGATGAGCCAAATGGCTTCCTTTTACACCATTACAATTGATTCTATTTTAGTGTTACGGACTACATTTCAGGTCAGCCAAGAGACTGTAGTAATTTGGCACATGTCCCCATGGTGACTGCTTAGTAAATTGATCAATACATCTCAGCAGGTCTGGCTGCAACTCAGGGGAGAGAAACAAAGTTTTGAGTTTTCAAGTTCAGTGACTCTTCTTTGCCAGACCTGTTGACTTTCTCCAGCATTTTCTGTTTTTATTTCAGATTTCTATCACCTGCTGCATTTTGATTTTATTTGAACAACCAATATATCTGTTTGTCTGTCCATCATGAGTCTTCAGGCTTGTATACATTTAAAAGCATGAGGCAACTGCTGCCAATGTTATCAGTGCATTCAGCAGTGTTCTAACAAGCAATTTGGTTTAGGTGGTCTCCATAGAAATACGGATTCCTCTGAGAACTCTGTTCATTTTTTAGAACATAAAGCATAGAATCAGTACAGCACAGGAACAGGTCCTTCAGCTGACCGTGTCTGTGCCGATCATGATACCATTCTAAACAAATCCCATCTGCCTGTACATGGTCTGTATCTCTGTATTCCCACCTGTTCATGTGTCTGTCGAAATGACTCTTAACCTTTGCTAACGTATCTGCTTCTACCATGCCTCCTGCCAGTACATTCCAGGCACCATCCTCTGTGTTTAAACAAAAATCCTCGCACATTTGTTTTAAACTTTTCCCCGTTCTCTTTAACTTATGGACCGTAGAATTTGACAATTCCACCCAGGGAGAAAGAGTCCATCTATCCACACCTCTTGTAATTTTATATACTTCTGTCATGTCGCCTCTCAGCCTCTGACTTTCTTCTAAGATTAACTACAGTCTTTATAAACTTCACTGAAGACCATTTTAAATTAAGTTCTCAATATTTTATCAGACCATAATCGATATTTGGATCATACTGTTTCAGCTGTGAAGGGCATTGCTTCCTTTTATAGGTACATTGTGCTACCGTACCAGGAAGACTCCCCCCCGCCAACCTCCCACCCCACCGACCCCCAACCCCAAATACCCTATACTTGTATGCTAAAGTTCACACCTTTGTTTTGTTATCAAACTTTGATCTATTTCTGCATGAAAAACTTGTAGGTGGTGATGCGGCAGAGGATGAAGAGGTTGATGTCACATCTGTTGACCCTATTGCTGCTTTTTGTAGCAGGTAGGTAACCACAAATGAATATAAGCTGTTTCATGGTGAGGTGCATCAACTTAGATTCAAACTGGGAATTTCTTTGAGTTGTTATGTCATGTTGTCAGAAGCGTTTCAGAGACCAAGCTTTTTAATTTCCTGTTTCTCTTTAGTCTCGATATATTGATTGGAATTATTCTTTTGGCTCATTCTTGGAATAATCCATTGCTGCCACAATGGCATTTATTGCCCATCCTGCATTATCCTGAAAAGATACAGGTGATCCTCTGTAGGAGCAAATTATTGCAGGTGCTGGAATCTATACTGAAAACAAAAAGTGCTCTAGATCACAGCGGACCAGGCAGCATCCATGGAGAGAAAGCAAGCTAACGCTTTGAGTCTGGATTACTCTTCATCAGAGCTGATGTGAAGTGTGTGCTTGCTTTCTGTCCATGGTTGCTGTCTGATCAGCTGTGATCTCTGGCAATTTTTGCTTTCAGAGGTGATCCTCTACTTCAATCCATTGCAGTCCATGTCGTGGGTGCTTTCCTATATTTTTTGGTATTCTGGGATGTTGACAACGGACAGTAATCTTCAGGCAAGTAAAGTGAGTGCTCCTGTTATGTGGTAGTACTGCGTGATCAGTAATCACTGGTACGTTCTCATATACTTGGGTGCATCCTGTTATTGCTCACCACACTTGAAAATGTAAACCCATGACTTTGTGAAATAGGACCAGAAAAGTCCTAATTTCGTATCTTGTTTGCATTGAATGTCGGTCGGAGAATTAACTGCATTGGGTTGGAGTAGGAGAATGATCAAGAGTTCTCACTCCTGATTGTTACGAAGCAGCGTCTGCTAGGAAAGGTGACAACTGAGTTTGAGTGCTGCATTGGTCTTGGATGTCATGCCTTCCATAGTCTAATTGTCTCCCAACACTTTAGCCTAGAGCTTGGTAACTTTTGTTGCTGATTGAATATTTCCTCAGCGAGAATGATGGTTTCATGTTCATGTCACTGGACTAGTAATCCACATACACAGGATAACACTCTGAGAACATGGGTTTAAATCTGACTTTGGCAGATGATGAAATCTAAATTCAATAAATAAAATCTGGAATGAAGATTAGTGTCAAACAATGGTGACCATGACAACTGTCATCAATTGTCATAAAGATCCTTGCCTTTCAGGAAGGGCACGTTCTCCCAGTGTCTGCGTGGGTTTCCTCCGGGTGCTCCGGTTTCCTCCCACAGTCCAAAGATGTGCAGGCTAGGTGGATTGGCCATGCTAAATTGCCCATATTATTCAGGGATGTGTAGATTAGGTGGGTTATAGGGGAATGGGTCTGGGTGGGATGCTCTGAGTGTCTGTGTGGACTTGTTAGGCCGAAGGGCCTGTTTCCACACTGTAGGGATTCTATGATTCTAATGAAATCTGTCCTTACCTGGTCTGGCCTACGTGTAACTCCAGACCTACAGCAGTGTAGCTGACTCTTAACTGCCCTCTGCAATGGCTAAGTGAGTTACTCAGTCCAAGAGCAAATGGAAATGAGCAACAAATGCTTGTCTTGCCAGTGACTCCCACATTCCATGAATGAAGAAAAAGGTCATTAAGTGGGTTTATAAAACATTGTGTTTATTTTCAGCCTTTTCTATGCAGTTAACATCCTTGGAGTCAGACTAGAATGCTGGCTTATTGCTCAAGCTGACAGCATCAGTTACTGTTCTCTCTGTAAGGGACAGTTATTTTTTTCCAACCATTTGTTTTTGCAGCACTTAATGTGGAAATACAGTTTGAGAACTGCTTTTATGTCCTTTGAATAGAGTAGCCAATAATTTGCAGTAATGTATGTGGTTTCATGCACTGCATTCCCTTCACTCAGTGATGAAGAGTTTGAAGACTGCAAAGCCCTCCTCTACCTCCCAATATCTCCAGAAGTGGAGGATCCTGAAGAGAATCCTTATGGACCACCCCCTGAAGCAGTACAGGTGAGATGGAGAATAATACTGTAACTCGGTGGGTTCCTGTGGAGGGATGTTGTTGGTGAGTAATAACATGAATAATTATTTAGTTTAATTCTACATTAACTTTGCTTCTGGTAGGGAGAAGTTTATTGTCCTGCCTTGGGTTATAAGTTTATTGTGCTGTGTACCATGTGTATAGATTTCCAGCATTTACATAAGGAGTGAAAGGTTATTGGAGGGGGCGGGGTGTGGAATTTGAAACACAAACAGATCATCCAAGATCTTATTGAATGGTGGAGCAAACCTGAGGGGCCGAGTGGCCTACTCCTTTTCCTGGTTCATTTGTTTGCATGAATGAGCATTATTAACAATGCACTTGGGGTAATAATATTTTGGGATCCTCTGTCTGAGTACTCTGGGACACAAATGCAGCAAACCTGGAAAAACAGCTGTCTGGATCTATGGAACCCAGAGCTCTTCTCCACTGTCAGTTTTCTTCACCTTGTGTCTGGGTCTTGGCAACATCTCCATTGTCATTGCTTGATCCGACTATGGGTAGTTCTGCTATAACTATTTTATTGTATTTTATTGATGCGAATTGGCTGTAACACGATTGATGAATAGTGGACGCTGTTTGGATAATGCAAACTTTTTGCTGTACAGGTAGAGTGATTTTCTGTAGTGATTTCTGTATAACTTGATTTTCTACAGCGCGAGGTCACACAAGAATGCAATTGTTGCATCCTAGGAGAACTACCTGTGCCAGGATGGTAGTATGTGAACTAGGTGGACCTTGTTTTGGTCTAGCAATTCCAATACCCAGGATTCAAAAATGAAAACTGCTCCTTGTACATCAGGTCCCTGCTGAACATATGGTTAATATAACAATTTTTGTGTAAATGTCCTACTGCTTTATTTCTTCCAATGGTTTTATATCTAGCTTTAGTTCCTGCCTACTTTATAGATTCATGCTAATTAATCATGCTGTCCTGTGTACTCTCCATTTGCTCCCCACCGAATACCACAATGGCCCATAACTTCAGATGCGAGGCTGGGCCTGCCCCCTCAGCCGATGTAAATCAATGGATAAGCCTAACTGAAGAAGCATTCCACACAGCGTCCTGCTCAATACTTAGCTCTCAACCAGCACCTGACATGTACAAACCGATCATTGTCGTGTTGGTGTTGGGGAGATCTTGATGTGTGTGCGTTGGCTACCACAATTTCCGTTTTACAAAAGTGACTAAACTTCCAAAATCTACTTTATTGGCTGCATAAATGTTAGCCTTTCTTTCAGATATTTTGTTTATGAATATTTTCTTATTACCCTGTTCAGAGATGTTATTATACATCTGTAGAGTAGGTGGTACTTGAACCTGGGCCTCCAGCTCAGAGGTAGTGGCACTATCAGTGCACCCAAAAGAGCCTTCTAATCTTTTATTTATATAGTGCCTTTAATGTGAATGTAGGAAAATATCTCTTGGCAGCTTGCAGTGGCATAATTAGAAAAAAATACCCTGACCATTTATTAATAGCAAATGGACCTACGGAATATTTCATCTCTGAATGATAGAAGATCAGGTTTGTGGTGAGTCTTGATGTAGTCTTGAGTTTGTACCTGAACATGGTTTTCACCCAGAGGGACTTCACTTCCTTTGTGTTTGAGACTAGACAGACTTCTCATACAGAGTGAGTAAAATTATTCTCTGTGTTTTGAGATTTTCTTTGTCGTTTCTGTGTGTTGGACAGAACCCAGGAACTGATGACATGAACAACCCCGATAAGAAGCGACAGGCAGCCCCTGATGGGTCACAGCCACCAAAGAAGAAACCCAAGATGACCAATATTGAGCTACAAGGAGTACCGTGCGATGGTAACTGGTTTACCTGCTACTTATGAGACCAGTTATCACAGTATTTTGCACTTTGTTTTGATAACTCTTTGCTTTAATAATTGCACCTTGACCTCATAATTGGAGACATCACTTCAAAAGGAGATAGAGAGTTTCATTGGGTTCTGGAGTTTAAAATGGATCATAGAGATGCCTGTTCCGTCTTGGTGATGTCTAATTAATGTCCAGTTCATCGAAAACAATAGTACTTTGGGAAATCTGTGGCTGTTCAAATAACCTGTAGTTGTACTAAATCTTACACTGACCATAGCTTGTCTTGAAATCCTATTGCTTTGCATTAGGGGGTAAAAATGAGTAGCTTGGCTGAGAAGGAAATGTGAGATGAATGGTTGTTTCTATAAGGGTTAAAAGCTCATCAAATCTAATGTAGTATCGTAGAACCCCTACAGTGTGGAAGGAGGCCATTAGGCCCATCAAGTCTGCACTGACCCTCGAAAGGGCATCCCACCCAGACCCAGAACCATCCTCTGACCTGTAACCCCACATTTACCTGTCTATTCTACCTAGTCTATACATCTTTGGGCTGTGGGAGGAAACCCATGCAGACACAGGGAGAGCATGCAAACACTACACAACCAGTTGCTAGAGCTGGAATCAAACCTAGGTCTCTGGCGCTATGAGGCAAACTAACGAGCCACTATGCTGCCCAATCATATATGGGGCTTGGTGTTATCCTAACGAACATTTGTGGTTGTTCAGACAGCATGAGATGGTTGAGAGCTCCAATTTAAACATAAAGTGAAACAGCAAAAGAATGAGATCAGGTCACAAAATAGAACGTATAAAAGATTATGATAGACCAAGATTGTTACCAGAAAACTTTATTGACCACACAGTTTTGTTAATGTTTAATTCTGTTTGCTAGTGCGCAAGTTATCAAAGCAAAGAGTTGTTACTGGGTAACTTAGGAGTAGAAATGCTTATTCCACCCTTTCCCCCTTTCAATTCTCTTCACTCTTCATTGGCTCAGAACCTGTAATGCAAAAGAAGATTGCTTCTGAGCTCAGTGACAGTAACCGGCTGGTTTATTTTCTCTGGCAGAAGTTCACCCGTTGCTGGGTGTGAAGGGCGACGGCAAGTCGAAGAAAAAGCAAGCAGGCCGGCCTAAAGGAACGAAAGGTAAAGAGAAAGATTTCATTAAATCGAAAGCCTTCAAAGGGGACAGAGGTCAGTCTTTGGAAGGAGCAGTGAAGGGCAAGGAGCTGGCGGAAGTGGTTGAGCCACCCGCAGGTAAGGACCATGGTGGGAGCTCCCGCAGCTTGCCTGGTACCTGTGCTTCCCCACCCTCCACCCACCCACCCTTCCGCTCCCTCTAGTTTCTGCTCCTGCTTTTGCATGCGGGTTTGCTGTTTAAGTGCATAGCGGTGTGTGGTGTCTGCAGCACTGAATCAAGCTGTTTGGCCTAATTGGTCCATGGATGGAGAACAAGCATCTACAAATCTTTTCCCATCCTACTTCATTTCACCTGCACAATGTCTCTTTTTATTCATTTCACCCCCATTTGCTTACATAGTTTTCCTTTGAATGAATCCACGCATTTTGTCTCAAGTATTGCCCCACCCATCGGCCCTAACCTGGCCCATCAAAAGTTCTATTCAATTGATTCCATCACCCTGCTGTTTTAGCGTAGGCCTGTAACTTGTGGCTTCCAAAGTCTTCACATCCTTCCTAAAGTGTGGTGCTCAGAATGAGTACAGTACTCCAACTGAGACCAAACTTATGTTTTATATAGGCTCGGTATAACTTGCTTGCTTTAATACTTTGTGGTTCTGTTTATAAATCATTTGTAATTTTTGCATATAGCAGTGGTTTTCAAACATATTGTGGGGAATGCCTTTAAAATATTGTCATGCTCTGGGGATCCTTTAGTTACAAAACATGAGTGCAAGTGACACAAAATGAATCGTGTCCAAGCAGTGAAGACCAACAGCAATACAGTGTATTAAATGTTAAACAACATAGCTAAATCATGATGTTGGAAACAGTGCTGAAATCAAACCATGTTCTTGTCAGAGTGCACCTTCTAGGTGCTGTGTCCAATTTAGGCCACAAATAAATGTTAAGTGTTGGAGACAGTGCAAAAAAGTCACAAGACTGGGGTCAGATACAGGGAAGTTAGGAGAAATCTGACACTTCACCTAAGAATGAAGACATAGAAACAGAGGGATTTACATAAAAGGCCATTCAGTCTGTTCAGGAAACTGTAATCAGCCTTCTACCTATTGGTCCATAGTCCTGTAGGTTAGCATCTCAAGTGCATATTGAAGTGCTTCATTAAAATATGCTCAGGGTTTCTGTCTCTTCCACCCTTTCGAATGTGTATTTCAGACCCCTACCACTTTCTTTGAGAAAATAGTTACTTCTCATCTCCCTTATAAACCTTCTAATAATTACTTCAATCCTTGCCTCATTATTGACCTGACTGCTAACAATATCTCAATTTTAAACACTTCATTTAAATCACCTAAAGCCTCTTCGGTTCCAAAGGAAGCAACCACAACCTAGCCCATCTCTCCTCAAGTATAATTCGCCATAAATCTCTTCTGTACCTTTCCCAGTATGATAATATTCTTCCCTTAATATGGTGACTGGAACACTAGCTGTGGTCTCCCTGGTAGTTTACACAATTCTAACATTACTATTCTGCTCTTACATTTTAATTCCTGTCCAGTAAAGGAGAGTACCCTGTAAACCTTCTTATAACTTATCCTGTAGCCTTCAGGGATCTGTGGACATGCAATCAAAGGACTCTGTTCCTGTGCACTTCTTCAGTATCTTAACATTTATTGTGTCATTTGTTGTCTCAAAATGCATTACCTCACTCTTATGGATTTAATTCCATTTGCCACATTTCTGCCCAGCTGACCAGCACTGGAAATCAAGCTGCATTACTTCACAACTGTACTGAGAATGTAAATATCTAAGTAAAAGCATAGAAAAAGTCATAAAAACTGAAAGAACAGTGGATGCTGTAAATCAGAAACAAAAACGGAAATTGCTGGAAAAGCTCAGCAGGTCTGTGGAGAGCTATCAAGAATAACATTTCGGTCAAGTGACCCTTCCTCAAAAATGGTCATCTTTTCTCTTACTGTTAACTAAAACAAAAACGATTTCCGTACAATATTAACATATTCACTAGAAACAGAATTATTATTCAACCAATGGCAAACTGATTATCAACTAAACTACTATGCAATTTAAACTGTTTGCCCCTTAATCACTTAGACAAATGTAAACAAGCACACACACACAGCCCCTAGTGGGGCTCTGCAAATCAACTATGAGTGTAAAAATAGGGAAGACTCCATTTATTGAGTCCAAACTGAAAGTGCAGAGTGAAGTGACTTTCTCACAGTTCCTACAGTTTCTTGTCAACGGCTCACATTGCTGTCAGTTACAGAATGATCAGATATCTTCAGACTAGATTTCAGAATCAGATGAGAAACAATTAGGTGTCCTGATATTTGAACTTTATCAGGGTTTTTATGAACTATTTCTTTGAGAGATATATAGAAATTGCTCCCTTCAGCGTCCAGAAATGATTCTTCCAGAATGAGAGAGACGGGATTGCATCATTTGCAAACTTCTTCTGCAATTGTCCACAGCTTCTAGGTGTGTGCTGAAAAATTTCCCATAATTTCAAGTCCAGAAGCTGTTGGTAGGTGATGGCAACACATCCATTTGCATTTTTCTGGTCTGTTGGTTCAACAATTAAAGCAATAAAATTCCACCTTTTCTATCTTCAAAACCTATTGGACATTGCTTTCCAAAGTCTTGTGTTTATTTTTAAACAGCAAATAGACCATATTCTCCTTTAACATTTTGACTTCGCAGTTCCAAACAGTGACATAATAATTCCCTTGTAACTTCTAAAATTCCATTTTCCAGTTTTCAGGATCCATAAGTATGTGCGTTCCCAACATCTTAAATACACCATCTAAGTTTAATTCTGTACTGTCGATGTATACCATGGACAGCAAGGGATCCAGTACTGTGCATTGGTATCTCACTAGAAACAGCCTTCCAGTCAGACAAACAAGAACTGTCAACCACAACCTTATATTTCCCGTCATTGAGCTAACTTTCCACATTCCCATGGAATCTAGCAACTTCTAATTTACCGGCCAGGCTGCCATGTGGGACCTTGCTGAGATCCTTCTGAGGTTCAATTTGATGCAATATGTAGGGTTCCAAATGAAGTCTTTGTGAAGTAGGATTAGTTTAACTTCCAATTACAGGAGCAAAATACATAGTTGCAGGTTCAAAATGATAAACTGTAATCTTACAATTGAAAGCACAAAAAATTCTTCACCCAGCATGTAGCACCAATTACTAGATTGAATGGTGAAGGCCAAATAATGCAGGCTGTAGTGGAGAGACTTTGACTTTTTTTAAGTAATTAAGGTGTACTGAATGACCTCAACTATTTATTTTGCCGTGCAGTATGATTTACAACCTGATACTCTTCAATAAAAATAAATTTAATTTCTAATGTTAAACTTATAACAACATTATTAACCTAAAGTTATAGTGCTTTCCAATCACTGGATCCCCAGCCTCGTTGCTTTTGGAGTGTTAGAAATTCTGATCAATAGAAAGTCTTTATGATGGATGGTGCTGGTCTTTGAAAAACCATGTGGTAACTGATATATTTTGTTAGAATTCCGAATTTTAGAGAGCTCATTGTGAGACCTTCATGGAAATTTGCTAGATTTGGGGCAGCACGGTGGCTCAATGGTTAGCACCTGCTGCCTCACGACAGGGACCTGGGTTTGATTCCATCCTCAGGTGACTGTCTGTGTGGAGTTTGCACGTTCTCCCTGTGTCTGTGTAGGTGTCTTCTGGGTGCTCTGGTTTCCTCCCACAGTCCAAAGATGTGCAGGTTAGGTGGATTGGCCATGCTAAATTGCCCATAGTGTTCAGAGATTTGCTGGCTGGGTGGGTTAGCCATGGCAAATATAAGGTTTCAGGGACAGGGTGCGTCTGGGTGGGATGCTCTTTGGAGGGTTGGCGTGGACTCGATCAACTGAATGGCCTGCTTCCACACTGTAGGGATTCTACAACTGAAGACCATTGGCAGAGCTTTAAGTTTTGCTAAACTATACATACAATTGAGAGGCTCTCAAACAGTGGTCAAGATGCATCGTTAGAATTATGTTGCATTTCTTCCAGTTTCCAAACCCCCCTTGGATACGGATTCTCTTTCAAGATAGAGATGATTAAATTCACTCACTCACTCTCTGAAGTGTTTCACCAGCATCTCTCTACTAATCAGGGCCTCGTGCATCCCTGTCTGAAAACCATTGTCACGTTAAGATCAGTATTATAAATGAGCAGTTTATTTTTGTGTCATCCCTGCTGGCTGAAATTAGCCAAATGTACACGTCCTAAGAACTTGATTTCATTTTTCCTGTCCATTTCCTTTAGATGCCTCAGTTTTGATTCTCTCTCTCTCTCTCTCTGTCTCTCTCTCTCTCTCTGGGTTTTCAGGAGGAGGTGTTATTTCTGACCTGCTGTGAGTGTGGTTGATGATAATTCTTCAATGAAATTGTTGCTCTACCTTCATACTACTTAGTATGATGCAGCACCTGGAAGGAATATGACTGCCGGTCAGTTTGTTGGCCAAAGAGAAAAGGAACCTTCGTGAACTGCAGGGGTGGATAGGCCCTTTATCCCTCCTCGAACTATGGGCATTGAAACATCAGTCAACTGAAGATCTGTTACAGTTTACCAGGAAAACCGATGTGTAATTTCTGTCTTCACATGTTAGATAGTGACATTACTATTTATGTGGAACCATAACATGCAAGGCACTCAAGGCTGAGAAGGTGAACAAAACTATCATCCTCCACTTTTGCTTTTGAAGTAACAATTGATGATTGTCACTTTCATGTCCTGGGAAGTCAAGGACTGACTGGTCAGCTGCACTGTAAAGTTTCATAAAATCCAGTTCCTGAGACTGCAAATCTCCTGCTCCACCACATAATTTTCTTTTAAAAAAGAACTATTTGTGGTAACCTTGAGATACCTGGGTGCTTGTATATCTTTTGTACTGGTTTGTTGTATGATTAGCTGGCAGTGAATGGCTGAATATTGTAGATTTTACTTTTTTTTAATTCATTTGTCTATGAACTGGACTGCTCATATTGTTTTGGGCTGTGATTGATACCTTTATTGAAGCGAAGGTTGACAGTTGCTTTTTCTTTGTACTTTTCTCTTGCTCTGATTTTTCAATGTATAGCACTTCAGCTCAGCTGTTGTACAGTGTAATCTTCCCCATCTGTACCAACTGGCCGCATCCAATGATTGCACTGTCGCAAATCACCACCCCTTCTCATGTTGAGGAACCTTAGAGACCTGAAATTCCCTAGGCTTTCTGCTGGTGTAGGAGGCTAGTAGAAGATTCTTATGTGGCTATACTACCAGTCTAAGTGAGGATCTGGCATTAGAATGGGTACTCAGTCCATCAACTGGTGAGAGCTGGACTGGCATCCCAAAGGATACCTGCTTCCAACCAGTAGAGTCATTGTCAGGCGCAGCACCTACAGCCTCAGAGCCTGATCCCAGCAGCACCGAGATTGAAGGCTATGAAGGCATGGGATAGATCATTCCCTGAAATGGGCCCATTCTGAGATGGGCGTCTCTTGCTACTTTTGAAAACTGTGGACCAGTCTGGTCAGGACAGCGATGTCAGAGTTTCAGCTGGAATAACTTTGAATGCTCAAATAGAGATGCTCAATCTGCCCGTAATTACTGTTGTTCACCATGTGGAGAGGGCAAGAAAACTCAAAAAAAATTAGAGATTCAGGAGATAACGATGAAGAGGGAAAATTTGATGGCAACCTTCAATTTAATTTGTTTATTATCTGAAATAAGCTTCTCTATCAATTACCTGTTTTGACTAACTCTTATTTGTTCACTTTTACAAATAATGAAGCCCTGTTTTAAAATTCAGCAACACCATAGAAGACTTTTGATGGCTTGGTCAGTACCGTGTGCCACAGCTAACAAGTGGGTATGGTTGTATTCATGGAAGAAGCTTCTCATCTCCACTCCATACACTCTCACAATCCAAAAATGTCCCCTCTGTCTCACACACATGTACAGACATGCACATGCAGCATGTCCTAACCTTTAGTCTGTACACGTGTATTCAAAACCCTAAAATGTGAGCCTTCCCGTGCACTTGAACTGTGTATCACCTGATAACGAATACTAAAGTTTAAACCCCATGCACACAATGGGAGACCCACTAAATGGAAAAATCCAAAGCTCCCATTCAAGCAGAGAAATGATGTTTTGTTTTAAAGCTGCATGATTATTTTCCAGTCAGTGTCTCTACATTTTCTCGATGCTACACAAGTGCTTCCCCAACCGCATCACCTCCCACCCAAGTGTATCTTGTTACCTTGCTTCAGCTTTTCCTTTCAGTATTATTGATGGTCATTTGGAGCAGCTTGGCCCGAGAGAATGTGCTCATTGTAAAAGGTAGCATTCACAACTGCATGTGTAAAATACTGCACATGGTGACACAGGTTACACAACAGCCTGAGTGAAAGTATGAGCCATAGACAAGTTTTGGTACAGAGGGAAGCCGTTCAGCCCATTGTCATTGTGTGGCACAGGATTCTGCAACATGACAATGCTTCGAAAATCAATAAGGTTCTCTTATCCACATTGAGCTGTGCAAGGAATAAGTTGTGATTTTATTTCCGTAGTGCATTTTCTGTGTGATGCTGCTGCAAAATTTCAGTCCTCCATTTCTATTGGCTACTGTGAATTAATTTCTTTTCAATATCGACTGACTACCATCACCAGGGAGGAAATAGGATCAAACTTAGTAATCATTGACTTTTTAAGGGGAAAAAAAGAGTTACAATTGAACACATGACCTTTAATTCAAACCGAATTAGTAATGTGGTATTCGCAGCAGAGAAATTAGCCCATTTGGCCCCAAAGGTGCATTACTGGGGTTTATGGTTTGCAGAAACTTCCTCCCTCCCCTTTTCATCCAACCCTATTTGCAAAATCTGTTACTGTTTTTTTCCTTCATGTGTTTATCTAGCTTCCCTTTAGCATCTACGCAGTTAGCCTCAGCCACTCTTTGAGGTGGCAGATTTCATATTCTGACATCATTGTGCTATCCTTATTTCTGTAAACCTGCTTTAATGGGGAGATGGTTGGTCGCGGGTGGGGGGCAGGGGGGGCGGTGGATGCGGTTGATGGATCTAGACCTAAGGACTAGTATATTACAGCTCATTTAGTTCTTCCTGCTCCATAGCAGTAGGCACATTAAAGAGTCTCTTGCAATTTTTCAGTGTGGCTATCCACTTGTTTGCAGTTTTTATGGTTTTAAGTGGTCCCTCTTTTGAGCCTGGGGGTTTCTGTTTGACCCAGGAGAAAGTTTGACAATTAGCTGATGATATGAGGAGAGAGACAATAAGGTGTTTGTGGAAAGAACACTGTCAGATGTCCATTATGTTTAATTATGAACCTTTTGATGATGAAGGGGAAACTAGAATTTCACATTGTTCTGTATCTCGACCATTCTGAAGTTGGACAATTTGCCTTCTCCTGGAGCACTGTAATCTGACCCAGCTGATGCATGGCTCTTATGCTGGTGAGAAATGCCTTTCGTGTTTGCCCCAGTAGCCACTGGTCATGCTAATAACAGACCTCTGTTATCGTTAAACGACCTCTTCCGTTTGGGGTTCGGCTGTTTTGTAATGATCCCTTTTTTAATGTTGATAGAACAATACTTGCTCAATCCTCTACTGCATTTAAATTGGCCAGATCATGAATGCAAGGAATGTGTAGATGACTTGTGCATTGAGGTGACCTGATATTTGGTAACCAATATTGTTGTACAGAACATAAATGCAAGGATGGTTTGAGCAACTGTGTATACATTTTCTGAATTTCTGTAAATAATAAACATTAACCTGGTTTTAACTCTTGGTGTTTTTCTTAAATAAAACGGGTACTCTCATCAGTAACTTGGTACGCTGGATTATGAACAATCATTTCTAGGCATGCCTTCCTGGGCTGTTCCCTGGACAATTCATTTGCTCTTGCCTCACAGGCTGAGTGCTTCAACCTTCAGAATGTGCATGTCAAACATTCACCATAGCTTTTAAAACACACTATTTTCATGTTTTGTGGATTTGCTGCCAAAGCTGTTGGTTTAGTCAAAATCCTGAAACTTCCCACCCTAACAGCACTGTAAATGTGCCTACACCAAATGGACTTCACTGGTTCAACAAGGCAGCTCACCACTGTCTTCTCAAAGGCAATTAGGGATGGGTAGTAAATGTTCGATCAGCAAAGCAAAGTCCATATCCAAATAATTTTTTAAAATTGTCCATCCACTGAAAGGAATGACTTGCTAGTCCATTTCAAAGGTCAGTTAAATGTCAACCTCTTTGCAGTGAGTCTGGAGTCACATGTAGGCCAGAACAGGTAAGGATGGCAGATTTCCTTCCCTAAAGGACATTAATGAATCAGATGGGTTCACATAACAAATGATTGTCACAATTATTGAGACTATGAAACTATCTTCCAATTCTAGATTTAAATTCCACCTGCTGCCGTCGTGGGATTTAGCCTGGTTCTCTGGATTGCTGGTCTATTGCAGCACTATCTTTCCTAAATATATCGTCGGTAGAATGTATTCATTCAGAATACTGTGGATGCTGGAGATCTGAATTAAATGCTGGAGAAACTCAGCATCTGTAGAGAGAGAAATGGTGTTAATGTGAGTTCAGTTTGATTTGGGAAATGAAGGGGACTGGAAATGATAGATTCCAGCTGACAAAGGAGGAGGAAAAGCGAGAGGAACAGGTGGTATGTGTGTTCAGGATAAAAGACATGAGGAGTCTTAATGGTAGTAGAGGAGAGACATAGATGCAGGATTAATGTTAATAGTAGGTGTGAAGAGCAAACTCCTACAAACGAGTGGTTGACTCCTAATTACCCTCTAGGCAATAAATGCGGGCCTAGCCAGTGATGCCCTTATCCTGTGAATCAATTTAAAAAAAGCTTGGGGTGGGTATCTAAAGGTGAGAAAGGGCCTTAATCAAAATAGAGGAGGGTGTTCATGGTGTGAGTTTATTGAACTGGAACGTTGAGTGTTGAAGGCTGTAAAGTGTAAAGTGAGGTTCTGTTCTTGCAGCTTGCCTTGAGCTTCACCAGAACACTGCAGCAGGCCTACAATGGGACAGACCGTATAAATGCAGGGATGGTGATGACATTGGCTGGGACACTGTGAGGTATTTCAGAACCCCCTTCCCCTCCCCCAATTCTGATGATGGGTCAAGGCCCGAAACGTCAGCCTTCCTGCTCCTATGATGCTGCTTGGCCTGCTGTGTTAATCCAGCTCTACACCTTATAACTGTCTGGCTCTTGCTTTACTAGTCTATGAGACAGCTCTTCCCATTTTGACACCAACCCCCAGATGTTGGTAAGGAGAGGTTTACAGGTTGTTTCCAGTTGCTGAGTCGATGCCAGGTGGTCTGTCCAGTTTCATTCCTTGTGAACTTTTAGCAGTTTAATATAAGTGAATAGCTTGCCAGGCCATTTCTGAGAGCAGTTAAGGACTGCGCTGGTGTAGCTCTGGAGTCACATATTGACCAAGCCAGGTGAGGATAGCAGATTCCCCCACCCCCTCCAATACTACCACAACATTATCTCCCTGTTGTAATAAAGTAGCTGGAAGAACATATTGAAATTGATCAATATTTTTGTTTGAGATGTTGCCTTACTGTACATTTGAGCAATGACCTGTTGGCTCTAGAGAATGTCAAATTCATTTTTTTTTGTTCAAAGTATACAGTCTTTGTTGTCCTAGTCTTTACGTTACTAAGACATTGCTGTACTGTACATGCCAGACCAAAATTTGTAGTTCTTTAAATTATCTATTAACTTCCACTAGCTGTGAAGTCAAGGAAAAGTGTGCAAATCAGAATGGGAAGGGTTTCCATTATGGTGGTTGTATTATGCTGGGAAAGCCAATGTTATGAGTAATTAATGTGATTGTATTAAAGATCAAAATTTTGAATCCTTGTATTGGTGTGACTGAAAAGCAATGAGTAGAAATCTGGCAAAGTGCGTTAGAAGCTCTAACAAAGTTGCAGAGAATCAAACAAAACCTATTGCTAATAGTTATACCCCTGATGGGAGTGCAGAGATCTCGGAGAGATGTGAGTTAGAGAACCTGACAGAGATTAGGATGAACAAGGCCATGGAGTAATTTGAAATCAAACATGAGAATTTTAATAACAAGGTGCTGCCAGACCAGGGGCTAATGTTGGTCAGTGAGAGCATGGGTGATGGGAGAACAGGACCAGATTTGAGTGAAGATATGGGAAGGAGGGTTGATCTGAGTCATGTGATATTAAATAGCCACATTTAGTGCACAGCATAACACTGTTAAACTAAGAAATTTGCTGCCTAATGAACATTTTTTTTTTCAGGACCTTGAATTATATATATTGATTAAGCAACTTTAATGTTTCCTTTAGGAAAGGCTTTGCACAGGATTTTGCTGTGGAAGTGAATCTATCAGTGTTTACTGTTAGGTAGATGTATCAATACATATTTTTGATATGAAACTTTTTTTGCATGACATTGCAAGTTACTGAAAGCGTGATCTGGAATGGATGCAGCGAACAAGGGCACCTACACACCTGGGAACCAACCAGGAAAGTCATGGAGCGCTCCCTTTACCAATTAGACTGAAGAATTGTAAAGTCAATGAAGGGAGGGTTGCTGTCAAATCGGGCCCAGATTAAAGAGGGGGACAAGACAAGATTTAAGTGAGAGAAAGACGCAAACAAAACATAATAAATTATACATTGGAAATCTTCAATTAAACCCTATAGGAATGAGACTCACAAATTGTAATGGTTAATTCTCAGTGCCAGAGAGGTTGTTTGGCAATAAGAAATTTATTTAATGACGAAAAGGATGTGTAGACAGATATGTTCAAAATTTAACCGTTCCATGGGGAATTTAAACTGTGTTCCATGTTATTGAATGCATTGGTGAGACAGGAAGTAAGGTACCATTTTTACAAAGGTTAGAGCTGTTTAACTTGGATACCAAGTTGCAAAGCTTGGTTACCAACACTAAACAGTGCATCTACCTCTCCTGAAGTTACTGTACAATTTCTGCATGAGAAAATGGTATGTGCCATCAACCTCACCCTCATTTTGTCATTAAATTCTCACCCATTATTTTGTGCATCTAAAGGCTTGGCAATGTTGTCATGGTGTAACCTGAGCTCCATTGTTTCCAATGGTTGATGTAATAAAGACTTGTTAAAATTGGATCATCTGCAACCTTAATCCCCTCCCTTCCCTTCCTCTTGTTCCTCCACACTCCCTCAGGAAATGCTGGTCCCTCATGCTGGCGTCTACCATGTCCTCTCTTTTACTTCGCTGTTTCATCTGGCCACCTTGCAAGAGGACTTAAACACCTTACCACCAAGTGCAGAAAATGTGACAATTACTGGGAATTTGCTGGTAAGTGCAAGCCCCTGTAGCAAAACCTGTGGGCTAGGATGGAGGTCTGAGTATTACTGCAAGATGGACAAAAAGGGGCAGAAAAGTAACTGCACTTTGACAAATGCCTTGTGCCTGATCAATCAGGACTGTGGTCTGATAGCTAAGACCGCCACCGTGGGTGCCACCTTAAGTATCAGCTGCTTGGATACGACTATCAAAACTTTAGGATCATCAGATTTCATCTTCGTCTGGAAGATTGCAAGGGGAATTGTGACAACTGATCAGTACTTATTCAGACTCTTTCCATTAAGAGATACAAGCACACCCTGGATGATCATTGTAAAAGTGAGTATTGATTTGAAATTGCTGAGCAAACTCAGCAGATCTGGCAACGTCTGTGGAGAGAAAACAGTTAATGTTTTGGGTTCAGTGACCCTTCAAAACCCTTCTGAAGAGTCACTGGAATTGAAACATAAACTCTGTTTCTGCACAGATCTGCTAAGTTTCTCCAGATATTTCTGTTTTTTTTTCAGATTTCCAGCATCCACAGTTCTTTGTTTTATTTTATTTGAGTATTAATCTTATTTGTTAAGATTTGGATACAAGTACCAGGTGTATGATGGAATACGCTGCACTTTCACTATCGTCCCAAAGTCAGTTAGGGTTGGGCAATCATTGCTGGCCTTATCAGCAAAGCCCGCATCTACTGATCAGACAATCAACCACTTCTTGAATTAGCTTAAATAAAATCACAAAATGCTTGAGAAACTCAGAATGTATGGTAACATTTGTAGAGAGAGAAACAGAGTTAATGTTTTGACATGTTCTGACATGATGATTCTTCAGAATTATCCTGTGGTAGCTTGTTCCACATTCTAACGACTCTGAGGAAGTAAATTTCTCCTATCCCTACTGAATTTATCTGTAACTGTCTTCTATTTAGTGATCAATTCTGGTGCAATTCTCTGCTCTTCTCCTTCCAACACATTCATAATTTTAATTATTTCTATAACATCACCTGTAAGTCTTGGTTAGCCCTTATCCCAAGAGGATTTGTGCACAGAAGTACTGTAGTCTTGCTTTGATTGTACAGGATCTTGGTTAGATCACACCTGGAGTATTGTGTGCAGTTTTCATCTCCTTATCTCAAGAAAGATATTATTGCCACAGAGGGAGTGCAGCGAAAGTTTACCAGACTTGTTTCCAGGTGGTTGGAATGTCCTGTGAGGAGAGATTAAGCAAACTGGGCCTGTATTCTCCAAAGAATTTTGAAGAATAAGAAGTGATCTCATTGAAAGTTAGAAAATACTTACAAGTGATAGACAGAATGGATGCAGGTAAGATGTTTGCCCTGGTTGGAGAGGCTAGAGCTAGAGAGCACATTATATAAAAAGAACCAAGGATGAGGAAAGGTTTTTTTTACTTAGAGGGTGAAGAATTTTTATAATTCTCTGTCCAAGAGGCCTGTAGGAGTTCAGTCTTTGAATATATTCAAAGTAGAGTTTGATGAATTTTTGGTTATAATAGGTTAAAGAGATAATGAGGGTAAAAGGTATTGAAGAGTTGAATCAGCCATGAACGTATTGAAATGTGGAGAATCCTTGATGGGCTGAATGGCCTGCTCCTGTTCCTATGTTCGTTTTCATGCAATAAAGAGCCCAAGCTGTCCAGTTGTTTTCTAAAAGTGGTAATCTCTCCATTCTGGTTGCATTCTTGTTGATTTTTTTTCATACTTTCTCCAGGTCTTCTCCGTCCTTTTCAGAGATGGATACCCCACAATGTGCAGAACACCTTAGCCTTGTCAGAGTCCAAGCAAGTTTAATGTAAACTTCCATGCTTTTGGATTAAATCCCAGGGATGTGCCTGTTTAATTGCTTTGCTAACATTCAATGCTATTTTCACCAATTTCTTAACCTGTATCCCTGGACTCCTTTTGCTCCTCTAGTCTAATTTTGTATCTGAAGAGCCATTTACTATGTGGTGTAAGTACACAGTGGTACTGGAGAGAGAGCTCCAGGCTTTTGAAAGAATTATGATACAGTTTCAAGTCTGGATAGCGTGTGGCTTGGAGGAGAGCTAGCAGGTTTTCCCATGTTTCTGCCGTCCTCGTCCTTTAATGTTTGAAAGGTGCTACTGAGGGAGGTTTGACAAGGTGCTGCAGTGCAGTTTGTACATGGTGCACACTGCTGCCATTATAGTGGAGGGAGTGAATGTTTATAATGGTGAAAGGAGTGTGTATTGTGAGACAGAAAGTGCCTAATGGGTTCTATAAGGTCAAATCAAAATGATTACAAGAAGACACGTGCAGTTCAATATGAAGCAAATTTCTTAGCTTAATCCACTTAATATGTATTAGAGACATATGCGAATTAATGAGTGAATCTATTAGCTTAAACTACATAATATACTACATATACACAATCAAGCGAGTATTACACTGCTTTGTATCCATTGGAGACTTAATCATGGTGGCATTTGCAACTCTATCTCAGATTTGATGGCATTGTTCTTGCAAACCCTAACTCGATGGTGGAAAGCCCCTGATATTAATACTATTCTGAATCTAAGATTACGTGCTGTATCCCCTTTTCATTATAACTTCAGTACTTTTCCAGACATTCCATTGTGCAGAAAATAAGTTGAAAACATCTCCAGGTGGCTCCATGTGACTACATAGGACAATGTCTGTGGGAACCAGTCAAGGTTATGCAGTTCTTTCTCAGCCGAAACCGGCACATATTTTACACTGGGCCTATTTTCAAGTGTTCTTTTCACTTTGCTTCAATTACTTATTGCCATGAGCAATTAACCCTTAATTAAAATATAACTTTTAAGCCCAACACTACAGGGTGCCGATCAAATGGTAGCTTTGTCTCTTTAAGTGTCGGCCTGAGTGGAAAGGATGGTAAGAGTGCGAAAAGTGTTGCCAAGGAGGGAATGAATGATTGTTCTGTGAATTTCAATAAAGGCAATCAGCAATCCATGAAATGTAACGTTGAAATTCTCTACAAGCCTGTTTTGCGCTTTTGTAGACCAATTTCAACACAATCTCCCCTAAGTCATCAACTCGCAACTTTTGATGAGATGGGTAAAGAGGGAAAATGAGGAGGCTATATTGATTCGGCATCACCTAAACTTTCCACGGTTCGGGCAAAGTGGTTATGTCAGACACAAAAGTACTTCTGCTCTTGACTGAAACATTTTTTGTGGAGACAGAAACCTTGTAAGAAGAGTAATTGGTGAGCAAAAATATTTATATATTCCTGCAAGTTTGCAATAGTAAGGAGGGCTGTCTCTCAAGGGAGGGATCCGAGTCACCATTTAAAGCCAGTATGTGGTTCAATCCACCTAACCTTTGGACTGTGGGAGAAAACTGGAGCAACTGGAGCACCCGGTGGAAACCCACGCAGACGTGGGGAGAATGTGCAAACTCCAAACAGACAGTTGCCTGAGAGATAGTAGGAACTGCAGATGCTGGAGAATCTGAGATAACAAGGTGTAGAGCTGGATGAACACAGCAGGCCAAGCAGCATCAGGAAGGCTGACGTTTCGGGCCTAGACCCTTCTTCAGAA